TTAAAAAAAAAAAAACGCAACAATCGGAAAGATTCGTTTTCGGCTAACCGAAAATGTGTACGCTATGCGGTGACGGTTTTACGAGGAATCCCACCTGACGGTGCGGCGTCGTGTGCACTGTATTCGCGACGCGTAACCATTACCGCGGCGAAAACATAACGCGGAACGGCGAGATTGTACGAGGACGCGCGAGGTTATCGTAGAACGTCGAATCTGCCGGTCGTTTCCGCGAAATCTCGGGAGCGACCAAAAAAAAGAATCAAATCAACACGAAAATTGTCGCGACGACACCGCGGATTATGCGATCGATAATGTGCGTACACTGAACCAGTGGCGTATTTGAGGGGGAGGGGGGCAATGGGGGCAATCCCCCCCCCCGAGAATTTTTAGACCAAGACAATTTTTATATAAGTAATGGGTATTTCATTAAGAAACACAAATTATAATTTATTTTATAGTGTTACTACATTTGAAAACGTTTTAAATTTTACGCTAATTTAAATAACGCAAAACGCTAAATTTTTCATAACGTTTTAATTGTCAATAACGGTAAACGGAAAAATCTTTTAAACGTTTAAATTTCTATAACGTTTAAACGCTGAATTGCATATAAACGTTTATATGTCCCATAACGATAAATAATATATATATTGTTTTGATTGAAGACAAGGGCGCCCGCAGAAATTTTCTCGGATGGTACCAGCGTAAAAATAATACACTTACCATAAATTCTGTTTTTTATCACATCGTAAAAAAAAAATATTTATTTACTATAATATAGTAAGTATATACACACACATATATATATATATATAATATGTTGTTGTTATAACTAAGCCTGTTTAATACAAAATGAAAAAAATAATAATAAATAATTATGACTCATTGATCATTATCGTCAAATAAAAATTGAACACGCCGTGATTCCATGCAGAAAAGCTTAATTGTATCTTCAACAATGTCAGATTGTTGACTTTTTAAAAAAATAACAAAAATATTATAAAAGTATAAAACCACATAATAGATTAAATTTAATCTATTCTGTGATAAAACAGTCATCACGGCTTTCTATCTTAAGCCGTGGTCATCACTATGACTTTATCAATTAAAACCACAATAATTGTATATGGACCATAGAGTTGATATGATATGAATCTACAACCATAATTAAGACAAATAAACCAAATACCGAATACCTAGTGATATTGAAAACTGACGAACAATTTTGTGCCAACTTATCAGTCATCAGTCCTCCTTATCGTCCTCCAAGACTGCTAAATAAAATGCAAATAAATGCAATAAAAATTAGGTATTATCTAAATTAGCGGGGGGATCGTGGCCCTCCCCGGCCCACCCCTGCGGGCGGCCTTGATTGAAGACTTAGTCCATACTTAGTGAAAAATTAGGTAAAACACAAGCGATACTTTCAAAACACAGATAGGTGTTAAAAAAGAACTACACAAAAGACAATTCTAAGTGGATCCGGCATTAGATTAAAATAAAAAAAAAAAACACAAATATTAAGGATTCACCTGAAATAAATATTACCAACAATTTTACTTGTAAATTTTGAGCCTGAATTAAAGAAAAAATTTGAGTCCCCCCTTCAAGAAGTAAGTATAAATACGCCCCTTCACTGAACGTATCGAGGCGACGGAAAATCGCACCTGAGACGCGAAAACGAAACACGAGTGCAATGCGTATTATAAACGCGCAGAACACGTTTCTCAGTATTTTTAACGCGATAGTGATGGTTTACACCAACGATGGTTTGCACCCGAATAATTTTTTCGGATTTCGGGTGTTCAAACACCACAATACAACATTTAAACAAACGTTTGGGTGTTAATAACCGTTATTATTCGAGTTAATATTGGTTACTACGGGTGTTAAGTAGTCAAGGAAAAATATTATTTTTCATTGATGGGGAAACTGAGCCCCCCTATACTGATGAAATATTTATGTTTTTTGTCACCTGCCTATGTAATAAAATATCAATTTCTTATACAACAACTGTGCAACAGTTTTTTTAGACCAAATTATCATTATGTTAATTTCAAGCAATGGTGTAACTACGATTTATTTTCGGGAAGAAGGGGTTATTTTATATGTGTATTAAGCTTATAAATTATAATGTCTATTAAAATTAAAAATACTAACACTATGTCCTACTCCTAGTTAGTGCGGGCATATCGCATGCGACAAAAAACAAACTCTTTTGTATTCTGCGTTTGTGTTTGTGGCATAGGCGGAAATCAGGAGAGACTAAGCCCCCCCAGAAATATGAAGTACAGGTCTTAGCTCTCCTAACTCTAAAAATTGTTAAGCGACTAAAAATACAATAATTATTATAATTGTAAAATGCATTTTTAATAACCGAATTTAAAAAAAAATATTCTGTGATAAAAATTAAATCAAATTCGTAAGATTTTACAAACTTTTTGTCATGACTTGGAACGATCGCAATTAATATAGTATTAATAATATATAATAATACCTGTATAGTTTGTTTAAGTTAATTAATTAATAATTTCTGTTTAGAGTACCTACTCCAAAAATATTTAAGATAAGGCACCTAATTGTTTTTTTGTTTAAATTGTTGATTAAAAATGTCAAGTTGTTAAAGTTCGTAAATTGCCTCGTTGAAATAAATAATTGCGCACAGTGGTCTCTATAGGTGTAATAAGCAAATAATGCTCAGTCCCCCCCTCCCATAACATTTCACCAAATTTCTGCTTATGGTTTGTGGTGCGTGCACATACTAAAAACGCACTAGCTAGAACATAGCGTAATACAAAAATAATAATAATTTGTACTTATGAATATTACGATGAAATTATTACACCAACAAAAATTGACTGTTCACGCCATAGACATATGTACTACAAGCCATACACTGAACAAATACAAATAACGCGAATTACAATTTAGGTAATCATACGCGAGATTTCAATTATATTTCAGACTTAAAGTATTACATTAAATAAAGACTTGGTGATTCGTATTACCTATTAAATTATAATTATACGACGTATCTGCTTGGAATAATTTTAAAAATAGTATCCCAGTTGTTTACACTTGAACATTTAACATACCATACCATTCATGCACACCTGTCAATTTGATATATAGCTATTGTCTTTATTTAGATAATTTTAAACAACTAATGACAAAATTGAAATAACCACTAAAAATACATACAAAATAATATGTCACATAAAGATTGTAAAATAAAAAAATTATTCGGGTTTCGGCTTCAAACCTATTCAGGTTTTGGTTAATTCGGATGTTTAAAAAAAAAAAAAAATCATTCGAGTTATATGGGTTTTGGGTGTTTGATATTTTAAGGGTTTTTAGGGGTGTTACGGGTTCGGGTTAATTCGGGTGCAAAGCCCTGATATTTTCATGTTTTTAGTGAATTTTGTAAAAATATGGACAAAATATTTAATTGCTGTGTTGGTATTCAATTTTTATATTTCGTTTTAAACACAAATGTGATAAAAATCACTAAAAATAAATTAAATATATAATATAAACATATGTATTTACATACAAATAACAAAAAATGTACAAAAATATGCCTGTGGACGACATGAAAAATAAATATTTGAAGCCACGTGAAATTCATAAACTATAACAATTATCATTGTTTGATCCTAATTGTACCGAGGGTGCCATTCATTTTGTCATTTGGCCTAATTTTCAATGGATGATATGGAATATTCCCCAAAAAGTCTTTCGGGGGTTCATACATAATATCAGCCATGATTTCCTCCAAAATCGTCCATATGAAAATGATCGTACCTAAAAAATGTAATCAATAGTTAATATATCTTTTTTCCATTGTACACACCAATAAGTAGCGCAATACTTACGAATGATTACTTCGATTAGCGAGACATTGTATACGCCAGGGACAACCCATGTGGCTTTTCCCTTCGCAGCCGATCTAAATACAAGTTTTGTTTCTGCAAATATACTTTGCAGACTTTTGTCATTTAAAGGTTTCGGTCTGTTAAAAGAATGCCGAACTAAATCTAAAAACACTGATTTAAAACAGGTTCATTAATACAGGAAGTGGTGATGAAAAAGGGTGATACAATCAAAATCTTTCTCCCTTAATCCGTTGGATAAAACGATACGTAAAATACTTTGTACACACATAAAAATCTCATACGGTCCCATAGCTATAAAGAAATCTAATTCCCGGATTTATTACTATTACCATGATGTCATATTTTTATATGCTACATTTTTAACGGTTGCACTGTTTCACACCTGTCATTGTATATATTTTCAACTTATTGAAACTGTTACTCGATGAATATTATGATAAACAAATTTAAAAAATAAGAAAATATATAATTTTGGATTAAATTAAAAAAATTAAATGATCATTTTAATTAATTTAATTAATTTATTTAAAATTAAGTTTTAAATTAAAGTTTTAAATAATTTTAAATCGTTTCCCCAATTTGTCAAAACCCATTGTTTATCATTTATTATCGGGTGTCAGTGTCTGATATATGTAAACTATTAACATCACCATAAATAAATCAAAATATTAATAAGCATAAAGTATTTTTTTATTTTTATTTTTTTTTGATGCATCATATATTACACAATATAGAAACAAACTAATTCTAAAAAAAAGTATTAACTTATATCGTATATAGATAAAATATACGAGAACAATTAATATTTGAAGTTATGTGATATTAATAAATGATGACAATTGTCATCCGTTATTCGTATCTGCGCCCAGAATACGTACTTAGTAGTGGATCCCACGTCACATATTTCCCTGGGTACCATAAAGAATTATTGCCCGTTCCATACATCATTGTGGCCAATCTCCACCATATGGACTTAAGGGTACCTAAAATAATAATCAATAAATGTTCCTTTTCTTGTACATACTAATAAGTCGCGCAATACTTACAAATAATCCTTCCGAATACTGGGATATCGTATTCGTCGGTGATATACCATGGGCTTTTTTCTTTTAATTTGATTCCATACTTCGCTTCTGCGGTTATGCTTCGCAGAGTAGCCTCATTTATAGATTTCGGCTGGTTACCAGGTCGAAATAAAACTAAATACATCGATTTAAAACAGGTTTATTATTGCAGGGCGTGATGATGGGATGTAAAGTGGGTGATACAATCCGAAACTTTCTCTCTTGATCCGTTGGATAAGACGATACCTATATTACTTTGTATTCACATTAAAATCACATACTGTCCCACAACCACCCCTGAAAAAACTTAACTTCCTGAAGGTCGATTAGCCTAAATAAATTCACGTTATAATTTAAATTATCCTGTTGAAATGTAAACCAGATTACTTTATTACGACAATGTTAATTGAGTAGAGAAATCTAAATCGAAATCACCAACACTTTTTTTTTTCTTTTGCTAATTACAACCCTTATAAATACCTATATTTTATTTATATGAGATTATTGTATGTTATACTTTAACATAAGTATATATTGCCACACATTATATTAACACCTCACGTGTTCATTACATTTGAAGTATACCCATTTAAATGGACTATTCCGTAAATTAATTTCAATATCTTTGATAATCTTGCTCTTACGACATTAGGCTTTATTTTTATAAAATACGATAAATGAAAATATGGTTACCTCTGACGCTGAGGAACAAAACCACTAGAGTAGGGAACCAATAGTTGACCGCGGAATAGTTATGGACAGTACAATCGCTTTCTACCGCGCATTCTACGTGATTGGATTCCATCCTTAAGTTTTTACAAACTATTGGGTAAGAAATGTCAGAATTCCAAAGTATTGTATCTTATTGTAAATATAACTTCAGATTGCCGAATGTAGTGTTGTTGTGCTTGGACTGCAAAACGAAAAGTGACAAAATTTACGAGATTCGTAACAACATTAATTTATCGTATCCAAGCGCAACGGTTGTTGCCAATAAGTCGTTGATCGTGCGTTGGACATTGGCTAGCAACACAATTTGAACGTCGTTATCGAGAACCGTCGACAAAAATGTGTTGCACTCGAGCTCAGCGCCTAACATTAGGAAAAGCTTCGCCTATGTCAGAAGCAGTAACTGATGGCTAAATGTGCTCTACTCCTTTAAAAAAAAAAAAAAAATCATTCAGGTTATATGGGTTTTGGATGTTTGATTTTTTAAGGATTTTATAGGGGTGTTACGGGTTCGGTTTAATTCGGGTGCAAAGCCCTGGTTTACACAGCGATCGTTTTCTTGTTAAATGTTTCGTAACGAAAAAACCAATACAAACAATAACAATAACATTTCTTGAGATCTGTTCAGACATACATCGAAGTCCCCCGATTAGTCGTACCCAGGCATGTGTTTGAAAATTTGGCGCCCCCGGCATATAATTTATGCCCCCCCCCCAAAAAAAAAAAAAAATAATAATAATAATATAACACATTATTTCGTCCGTAATCAAGATTCTTTAATGTTAAAATATAACTTATTAATGAAAATCGTTTAATACTTTTTTAAATTAATAAATTAAACAAATTATAACATAATAAAACATACTATTTTATTTTTTTATTGTTTTATTTTGTTTTCATTAGGTTTTAAAATTAATTTTGCTAAAATATTTTGCCGCCCCTGAGACTTAACGCCCTAGGGTATATGCCTATCCGTGCCCTCCCCTAAATACGGGCCTGGTCATACCGTACTATATAATTAATTACATGATTAATGCTGCACGACGTACACGTTTTGGTGTGCTTGGCCCGCAACATTTGCCGTTCATAGTGCTTAGATGACTGATTTATATTCCGTTCAAATTCTTAAAATCTGATGTTCTTGTGTCGTTTAAAAAACGTATTATATTCCCTAGATATTCTTTAAAAATGTCAAATATATGATGTTATATGTCTTAAAAAATACAAATATTCTTTCAATATTCTGTAAGAAAAAAAAAATATATTATAATTACTGAGTTTAAATTTATCATTTATTAAATATCATTATTAATTTGATTTAGAATAACATTTTTGAAGAAAAAAAATCAGTTTTAAAGTCAATTTTAACCGCATGTCGATTACCCCTAATATCTAACGACAAATAAATACGAGTAGGTAATATAATGATAAAATATTTTCAAATATTCTCTAACGTATTGAAAATTATCAAACGTAGCTGTTGTTTGAAAAAAAAAAATGTTTTTTCTGCGAATACTTTGTTCCATGATTCGAATATATGTCTTTCTCTCACATTGAACCGCGTAGAAACAAACATGTAAAATCATGAGATCGCTGCCTCTCTAGTAATGATTTTTTGGATCGGAAACGTTTCGTTTAAATTGACACGGTTTCGACGAGTAACCATCGTCGTCATGGATCGATGATTGGATAGGAAATGATCGGATGGAAAAAATTGGTTTTCGAATTCGCGGCATTTTTCACGGAATGTTCGGTTTTGTACGCCAACGTTCGGCCGCGTCCCCGGGCGATTTGTCACCAGCTCGTTTGGACGATTGTGTTTGACGGCACATCCATTTGCGAATAAATTTCAGTACGAGCTTGTTGTATTTTCGTGTCGTCTGCTCGCGTGCGAACGCGTGTACGTGGCCCATGATGGATTTCCCGCGGAAACTCGAATAACAACACGGGAAATGCTTTAGCGCAGATAAATAAAAACCGTTATACGCGAAACCGAGACGCGTGGCGGTCAACGGAATCCGAATGAAAAGTTCCCGATTTCGGTCCACCGCTGCACCGCTAATCCGTTACTTGTATCCGACGTTATCGTTATACACTTCCGATCAATCCAGGTCGTGCGATAAAAACGTTTCAACACCGATTTGAAACTCTGGTAAGAAGCGTACGTACCGTATCGTACGCGGGCAAGTACATGTGTACGGGATTGTGTGTTCGATCAAATTTTACATCCGTCGTGGATTCATTGTTAACGTTTTGATTTTCGGTTCAAATCGCGCGGGGCTACCAACAGAAAAAAAAAAGGTATTCGTTCACGATGCAAACGATCGTCGAGTCCGCGCACAATGGTCAGAACTAGAATTTTGGGCGGACAAAATTATTTTTTTTCATATTTTAATATTAATTTTGTTTTTATTAAAGATTTAGGATTTTTGAAAAATAATAATTTTTATAATATTTTGTTTACTCGCAATCATAGTTAAATAACATTAAAAATTACGACTTGATCTGAAAACGATTAGAATTTATCTGAGTCATCTTCTGAATCAGATCCTATATCATTATTGTCATACAATTCAATAAGTGACCGAACATCATCTTCTGTATATGCTGTACATGTTTTGACTTAATTATTCTAAGACTGGAAACATTTGGATCAGAACACATAATTAAAATTTTAATTAAATCCTTATTTTGTGATGCTCTCTAATATTTTTGAAATCTTTATTTCGGGCTTCTTGTGCCTCCTCTGATATTTGACCTGTATATGATATAATTATACATATATTATTATTTATCTATTCATATTTTAACAGTTACACATTTACCTAAGTGAAATAATATACAAACTAACCAATAGGTATAAAGGCGAAACGTATGACATCTGCACCATGTATTAAAATTTTATGTACTGAAGCTGGCATATTATTATTACCACGGGTATAGAGAAACATATAGTTCCGCTGTATTTAATGAATACACTTCGAATTTTTTTATATTTATAGCCCAACCACAAGCTATTGTCCTTAAAATTACTCCAAATCTTCTGATTAGCTCTATGTTTAATACGGTAATGTCGGTAGTTTTTTAAGGGTTTCCAAAAAATCTTCGTGCAGTTTTGCCATCATGAATTGTTCCTGATCCTAAAAATAAATTTTGTCATTTAACCGAAACTTCAACAACAAGTCCTCATAGCTAGCTTTTTGGGTAATTTCAACATCACCTAATTTAAATAAAAAAAAACAAATAGTAACTATAGTATTTTATAATATGTATAATGATGGCATTATTTTACTATATGGATATTTGTTTTTAAGCAGTTAATTGTTAATAAATACGAAGGTTGCAACTAGTTGCAAACAAAATTTATGTACTCGAAAAGCTGACAAGTTCTAAATTAATATGTATTTAGTCGCTGTCGTTCATATTGGATCGCTTTGGATCCGCAATCTATGATAGTTTAAAAAACACATTTCAAATATGGAGCTCATAACATATTTAAATTTAATTAATTAATAATTATTTATTTAATATTACTAAAATATGAACTATCACTTACCTTCCTCGTTTATTTCCATGATTAAATACAATATCGTATGGTAAATTGTAAACAGGTGCCTCAAACACAAGCAACTAAGAAATTATGATTTAAACTCGTTAGTCGTCATAATACAAATGTTATCTAAAATAATTGTGTAGTTAACGGATTTTGACGTGGTTATCGTTGATTTCATTACTAAGTGTCTATTAAATCTTTATATACTAAGTGTATAGATGAAATATCAGGTGAAAAATATTTTATTTTGAAATCAATTTTTTTTCATTTTGGAAGCCTAAAATTTAATTTTCTACCACTATGCCGCGGTGCGTTTTTAAAACCGCTCTCGAATTTTTTATATCTCCAAGATTCTCGAAACTTGATGGTTCCCGATCCAGTTCGGTTCATTGGGTTTGCCGCGTTTAATCTTCAACCAAATAACGTTACGTCAAATCATACACATAACTACACCATAAACAGATATTATGGCCGCGTCAAGTGCGAATGACTTATTTTACATTGCTCGGTGAACGCAGTAGCGCTAGCACCAGCACCAGCATCATACGAAGGTCTTATTTTATGTATTCTTGATGGAGTAGAGTTTGATAAATATTCTAAAAGAAAAATAATATCCGTCATAAACGCATGGCGTTACGACAATACCGTTCAATGATATTCGTGAAGACGAACGGGTGGGGGGAGGAAATTAAAAACTTTCAATTTTCGGTGCAGACGACACGCCGTAGTTGTTACGGCTGGAATAGTATACGAAATTAAACAGATCTATAATCAAACATCCTTTGAATTTTATACGAGATATAAATACATCACATATCCTACGAGAATACTTTATTAAACGGTCGCAAACCGTCCGTTGCTTGAAGGGTTCGTCTGTAATGGGTTATATGTAAAGTGCTAGCGGGCTAGCCGAAAAAGTGTTATAATGTTTTATTATATCGCATAATGTTATGCCAGAACGCCGTTTCTATTCGTTTTAAATACAGCTGTCTTCAATAGAAGAGTACTGTATTTAATAATTTGCCGCTCTAGGGCAACATCGTTATGATACTCCCCTTCCTTATAACAGTACAGAATTTATTTACAATAAATATATATAAGACTGAAAACCGGAATATTTTACTAAAAAGCCATTTATTGCTTCGGTCACACAGTTCACTTTTCCAATTCCTGTGTACAACATTTTTTACACAATATTTATTATTCGAACAATATTAGAAATTAATGTCTTACAAAATTATTATTTTATACTTGCGTAGAATGTTATCGATCCCATTCCCGAGCTACCCCATAAATATACGGTCATTCGAGACTCTTAGCGAAGATTTAGGTTCGGCTTTATTATAAAACAAAAAAATCCATTAACCCGTTTAATTGAACGTAGAACTAAACGTCCTGCACAATCAAACTCAATACTCATAATACAGTTTATCGAACGGAATGAAAAAAATAAATATTACGAACAATTACCCCTGCCCTCCTCAATTCGGACGAATTAAATGATTCTGGACTTGTAACTACAATACTCTTCTGGAACCGCGGTGCAGTATGTGGCACAAGTCATGTACACGTGTCGTAACGACGAAATAGTTCTAATAATAATAATAATAACGCGTTATTATCATAGCACACGAACGAGTGTGCATAATAAACGCGCGACGGTATATTTATGCGGTCGTCCTCGTGCACTCGTCGCCTCCAGCACTTAATGAACGGCCGCGAGGACGCGTACCACGAACAATATCATATGACCACGCGGCGACCGTAACGATGTGGTGACGATGAGGATAATAATGATGATAATAATTATTCGCGTTTTCCGCTATTCGTCATACACACACACACACACACACGCACGCGCGCGTGCATCATGAAACTAACCTTGGTGCAGCAGTGAATTGCAGCAGGAGAATGCATTCGTATTACTGCCTCTCACCCCCCCCCTATATAACTGCTGTAAAGTAATGAGTTCGTTACGTAACCAACGGTGACGTCACGCGGCTGCGTTTCGGTTTCGCGTTTTTCGCACAGACATTTCCACCGGCGTACGCGCACGTATGCGAAGTCCTTCGTCGTCCTTCTTGCACGGAAATAGAGATTTTTCGACTTTTCGCAGTGACTAGGACAGTCGGTTAGTTCGGCGCGATTGTTGTCAGGATCGCTTCAGACGTACGAATTCATGACTCATGATGCGTTTCAACGAGTATACGACTATTTGCATAATACAATGCCATCGCTTACGAACAAAAATTCAGGGGACTAATTACGCAAACGATTGAAAAAAATAAACGAAAAAACCGCTTGTGATAATACTCGCGTGCGATTTCAAACGTTTGTCCATCACAATTATGGATATCACAATTGTTTACTTAAAAAAAAAAAAAATTACAAATCAACCTCGCCCCGTAGTGTAAGGTCCAGTTTCCGTTTACGACTAATTTAAAAACTAACTAATATTAATTTATCATCACGAAAAATATGCTACATAAACATAATATATGACTGCAGATGATATAAAATGTTTTTAGGTCTAGGCACATTAAAATAATTAATCTAGAACAATGGTTCTCAAACATTTTTGTTCGCGGAGCTCTTGTGTTCCTAAAAACATTTCGAAGTCCCATAAATCAGGA